AATGTAGAAGCCCAAAGTATGAGAGAGCTAAGACTTGCATGAGACTGAGAGCCAGGCAGTGCAGCGCTGTCTGTGAAGGAGAAATTCCAAAGACCAGGGAGGAGAAAGTCCAGAAAGCAACAGCCCACAGTCTACAGTATTAGCCAGTGCAGTGGCTATGAAGAAAGACAGAACATTCCTCCAAAAAGTCACTGGAATCACTGGGAGAGGGGCGAGAGAGACAATGGGACGGAAGTGGAAGGATAACGCATCATGACAATACAACATGACCAAGTGGGGTTTACTCCTTGAATAAAGGCTGATTCCACTTCAGTGCTGGCCTGACCACAGTGGCATAGGAGGTAGGGTACCACTACATGTTACTAGAGCCATATACTAACAGTCAGGGTTCAGATCCCAGGTTGATCTGAATGCACTGGATGTACCCATTGGCATATCCACAGTTCTGGCTGACTGAAGGTTGAGGAGAGGGTTGTGGCATGTTAAGACCCTATCAGGGGTGTATCTCTCTCAAGAAACAAAACAAAACAGAAACTTTTATGAACAGATTAGAATAGAAAAAACATATGGTCATTTCAACATGGAAAAAGCACTTGATAAAATGCAACATCTATTCGTTGTTTTTAAAAAGCCTCTATTAGGCCAGCAGGTGGTGCTGGATTCACACTTGGCAGATCATGGTTCGAGCCCCAGACCCAGAAGCTTGAAAATCATGTGTTCAAAATTCTGAAAGGAGAATGGTGGACAAAGGATTGAGGCGTGGCCATTCCCAACCCCACCCCCCCGCCCTGGGGAGCGATTTCTCACTTTCCCTCTCTCTCTGTCTCTCTCTGGCAAGCACACATACTCTATGACAAAAACAAAAACAAAAAATCCTCTTATTAAATTAGGAATGGAAAGAAAGTCCCTTAAACTGTTCAATGCCATATATAGAAACTTACAGATAACATTATATAATACTTAATGATGACAGACTAAATGTTTTCTCCCAAAGACCAGGAACAAAGCAAGATTGTCCTCTCTCATCACTCCTATTCAAACTGTACTGTAAGTCCTGGACCACACAATAAGACAAGAGAGAGAGAGAGAGAGAGAGAGAGAGAGAGAGAGGAAAGAAAAGGAAAGAAAAAAGACGGGAAAGGAAGAAATAAAACTTGTATCTGCAGATGATGTGATCGTCTATGTAGAAAAACCCCCTACAATTACAAAACAACTGTCAGAATTAATGCACAAGTTTAGGAAAGTCATAGGATATAAAATCAATGTACAACAAGCAACTTATCTCTTTATATGAGCAATGAACTGGAAATGAAATTGGGGAAGGCACCCTTCAGGGGTCGGCAGGTCATGTGGTGGTTATCACTGGACTCCCACATGGCTGACTGGCATTCAAGTCCCGGACCTAGTAGTTTGTTTTCTTACTTTCCCTTTCTCTCTCTCTCTTGCTCTCTGTCCCTCTCTGGTGAATTAAAAATAATAATAAATAAATAGAAATGAAATAAATAATTTTTTTAAAAAAGTACTCTTGGGACCAGCAGTTAGTGTAATGGCTATGTCGCCGAACTACCATATAGCTAATCATGGTTCGAGTCCTGGACCCAGTGGCTTAAACTCACACTGGGGGGGTGCCCAAGATCCTGAGAGGAGAATGGAGGAGAAGGGATTGTGGTGTGGCCATCCCCTCTGGGAGGTGATTTCTCACTTTCTGTCTCTCTGTCTTTCTGGCGAGCTATAGCAAAAACCTCTCCAAAAAAAAAAAAAGTACTGTTAATTTTTTTTTTTAATTATTCCATAGCTTTCAATGAATAGGTTCTGCACATATTTCATGACAGTTATACATAACTATTTCATAGTTTTTGATAATATTTAAAGACTGCAAATACATGGAGAGATTTATGTTCATGTACTGGAAAACATCACATTGTTCAGATGCCCATTTTCCCCAAAATGATCTACAGTTGCAACATAATTGCAGTCAAACCAACTAAAATAGCCAAGATATTTTTAAAAAATAGATCAAGTTGGAAGACTCGTACTACTCAATTTCTTTTTTTTTTTTGATTAATTAATTAATTTTACATTTATTCACTGAGCATCATCACAGCATACAAAATGTGATTTCCAGAATATACCGTACAGTGGCTCAATCATACATGTTATTATTGACAAATAATTTTCCATTTCTTGTTTCATACATGTGTGTGTGT